ACGACATGTCACGTGGTAGTAAACACGTGACATGTAGGGTAGCGATTTATCGCTACTGCGATAAATTACAAAATCCATTTAATATAATTGTTATAGAAAAATTTGACTATAAATTTTATTTAATTATATAAAAAAATTAAAAATTTTATTTTAAAAATATCTGAATAATATTATATTTCTAAAGTATCAATATTTGATATATTTTCTTTTATATTAATACAAGTTTAAATATAATTATTTATTTATAATTATATTGTTAAATTAAATGATATATTTTTTAAAAATATATATATAAAGAAATTTTATAATGAATATTTTTATAAAAAAATATTTTCATTATAATTAGTTCTTGAAAAAAGATAATTATAGAAAGATTTTTATATAATATAACTATAAAGAAAATAATTATATAGAAATTTAACTATAATTTAATGTTCTAAAAATTTTGTAACTTGAATATTTTTAACTGAAAAAAACTAAAATTTGCAATAATTTAATAAATATTATTTTAATTAAATGAAATTATTATTAAAATATTTATCTTATTAAAACAAATATAATAAAATTAAGTTTACAAAAATTAATTTTGAAAATTTTAAAAATCTACAATTAAAAAAATAACTTGCTTCTATTAGATTTTTGCAAATTCATTATATTTTTATTTTTTTAATTATAATTATTTTGCTATAATATAAAATATCTAAAGATATTAAATATTTTAAACTATAAAGAAATAGTCTTTAATATAATTTATAAAATTATATATTTTTATTTATTTTATTATAAAAATTATTTGTAGTTGAATTTTTTTAAATATTATAATAATGTTTTAGCATCTAAAATATTACGTATATTATTTTTGATCAGCTGAATTTTATTATATAAATTCTAATAGTACAAAAAGTAATAATAGATATATTTTTTGTTTATATTTTAATTAGAAAATTTTTAAATGTCGTGAAAATTTGTAAATAAATACTTTAGAATATTAAGAACAAGATTTATTAGTATTATAAAGCACATTAATATAATAATATTTTGTGTTAAATGTGATAAATTATAATTTTTAACAATTAAAATAAAATAAAAAATTATTTAAAAATATTTTTAATAAGAAATTTTGAAAGAATTTTATGAAAATATATTTTGTAATGTAAAGAATATATTTATAATTTAAAAAAATTTTTTTAGTTTATTTTTATTTAATCAATATCATACAAAAAAAGACTTTATTTTACTGAATTTTTTAAATGATATTGATTAAATAAAAATAAACTAAAAAAATTTTTTTAAATTATAAATATATTCTTTATATTACAAAATATATTTTCATAAAATTCTTTTCAAAATTTCTTTTATTCCATCTTAATTGTTAAAAATTATAATTTATTACATTTGACACAAAATTTCGCAAAATATTATTATATTAATGTGCTTTATGATATTAATAAATCTTATTTCTAATATCTAATATCCTAAAGCATTTATCTACAAATTTTCACGACGTTTGAAAATTTCCTAATTAAGATATAAGCAAAAAACATGTTCGCCATTACTTTTCGTGCTGAATATTCTGCATATAATAACTTATTTGAAAATAATAATCCTTCAAAAAATTCAGCAATAATGCAGCATTGGATGTCTTAGACTTTTTGCACCATAGAAACTTAGCACTACTATTATTATTTATATATTTTACTTATATAAAATCATCAGTATTGTAGTAAACTTTATATAACAATCTCACCACTATTACTTTTATCGGTAACTGTATATTATTTGAATAAAGTACCCTAGCCATGGCGAAAAAAAATGTTCGGGTCACGTGGTAACCAATAAGAATGCGTAAATTTTTGATCTGCTGGTGACATAAACCAATAAAATGCGTAAATTTTTATCAGCCCGGCAAAACAAATCCGACACAAGAAAATGAAAAAAGAGAAAATGTAAACAATACGGGAAATTGGTGCCTAACTCTATCTTGGTAGACTAATCAAAAATGTCGGGAAGGCAATTTTATATATAACTTTAATCTCAGGTCTAACCCTAACCTTTAAATTAATCTAACAATAATCTCTGTATCTCTGTTGTCGTAGAATTTTTCCGGACATACACAAATATCACATGACCCTAACATTTTTTTCGCCATGGCTAGGGTATCCCGCTAACCTTAATATCTAGATTACACAATTACACATTAATATTCACGGCTAAATTGAGAGAATAATAATTATTCATCATCGTTATCAGGATCAGTACTACAAACAATTTCATTTAGATAATCAGTTTAATCGTGATAATAATTTTGATTAGATAGTTCAGGTAATTGATTATTGATTGATTATTCCTCTAATAAAATCTAGTACCAATTACGTAGTCGAGTTTTTCTGAGAAAATTAAAAATACAAGAAGGATGTGTAAGGATTGCTTATATCGTAAGACCAAGAATAACACATGGAACCAGATTTTTACGAGTCTCAAACAAATAATAATATACGTAAAGAATCGATCAATTTTCAATTGTAACTATTATTCCTCAAAGAGCAATACGATAATGATAGATAAATAAGCTGACGTAATACCAATTGTCATGTTTTTTCTTATAAATAAGATACGTATCCAAATTAAAACAAGGAAGCAACGCTAAACTTATCTTCTCAATTCTTTATCCTTGCTCGCATCTTGAAAACAAATATCTAAATCCGAAAACAAATAAAGTTCCTTTACTCGGGAACCGCATGAATTCCCACCGATACTATCTAGCTTACGTGCACGTGACTCACTCGTGCAATTACAACCAAACTTTGCAATCCTTCTGAAGAATTTCATGGACGAAAGGTCTCAATTGCCGGGAATCCGCCCGGATCTTCCTAGCCTGAAAGAGTTGATTGCCCTTTTAAATCTTCCCAATAGCGGAATCGACGTAGATGCTTGGAGGGCGTATTTTGTAGCCTGTTGGATAAAGGCTCGCAAGTTAAATTATCACTACGAAAACAGCTTAATACGCCGTATGGCACAAGATTCATGGCAGCAAGAACCAGAAAATGTTAAACTTTTGTACGTTGGATTAGCTGATGAAGCTATGAATGTTCCAAGTACTTCTAATGTCGCAAATCAAGGATCTACTTCTTCCGATCCTTCCGATGAAGAACAACAATCTACTTTTGCAAACACATTAGGTGACTTCGATTACTTTAATGGAAATGCAGCAGAAGTCTTATTTAAAAATCAATCGGGAATCTGATTAGTTTTACATTTACATAAAAATATTTAGTCTAATATTTTAAGTTCATAAATTTGTTCATGGTTTACAATAATACTTTCTCGATTGTATCTCTTTTATAATATTGTATCTCTTCTATAATTATATATTGTTAATAAAATTATATTATTTACTGGAATATTTTCTAAAGTATTATTTTGGTAAATTTACTATGAAGAATAGCTGAAAGTTTTAATTGTGCTTTATATTTTAATAAAAAAGACACTGATTAGACAGTTTCTGAGAGAATTAAATTTAAATAATACAATTAAAAATTATTGAGTTTATTTACAAATTCAATATTATAATTTAATAATAAAGTTAGTTTGCTATATTAATTAAAATTGTTTTATTATTTAAAGTTTCAAGTTTCATTAGATTATATATTATTAAAAATCTTTTATTTTGATATACAATAATTAATATACTTATAAAATTATGTATACAATTTTATTAGTAAAAATTGAAATTTTTATTTTATATAAAAGTTTTAAATTTTATTAGTTTAATTTTAAGTTTATTTTAATTTAATTATGTTAATTTTGAAGTTAGAAGTAGTTTTTGATTAAATTTTCTTTTGATTAAATCTTGTTTTAAGTTTTATTTTGTCAAAAAAACATTTTTATCTTATTATAAATATTATTCAAAATGATAATAATATTAAAATATAAATTATAATTTTTATTTTAATATAAAAATAAAAAATATTTATCAAGTAAATTGTATTTTATTAATTATTAGCACTTGTATTTATATATATATATATATTTATATTATATTAGTATAATATACAGTACAAATCATAAGTAACCGACCCCCCTTAACTTGGCATAGAGGTAAAATAAATTAAAAATTTTTATTTT